CCCTGGGCTGCCACAGTGGAGCGTGCGAACTTAACCACTCAGCCATGGGGCCAGTCCCAAGAATATGTATTTCTCAAGTAAACTGCTTTTTAATGTCTCCTAAAATATGGGACAAAAGTACAATTCAAGAGATCTTAACTCATCTGTCTAAAGAGGAAAGTAGTGGATCCCAGCTTTATTGCTCACATTTATTCCTTAGTCTTGGAATATTCACATAATATTGCTTTAGAACATCATCAAGCTAGTTTTCTTGATAATATCCTGAAACTCTGTAGACTACTGCTACATTCTTTCTAATGCTAAGATAGCTCTACGTCTTATCATTCTAGCTCAGTGGACCACTTATATTTTGTTTTAATTGAGGTTATCATTTGATTGATATATTTGAAAAGTAAACTCTGTAAAGGACTTCTGAGACTTTGAGTTCACCACAGTGAATTTATTCCTCACTATTAGGTCCCAGCTATTTCCTGTGGACTATAAAGACATACTACTTGAAAATAGGATGAAGTAGCAGGCAACAGGCCATTCACCTGTGTCTTCTCTCCGCACACTATCTATGCCCAAATGTTGGTGCTCCACAGGACTCAGTCACAGACTCCCCTCTGTTTTCTTTCTGCACTCAATCACCATGAATCATCTGATCCTTGTGGCTTTAAGTATGATCTATACACTATGATTCCCTAATTTTTTTATTTTTATTTTTTTTTAAAGATTGGCACCTGAGCTAACAACTGTGGCCAATCTTTTTTTTTTTTTTCTGCTTTATCTCCCCAAATACCCCCTGGTACATAGTTGTATATCCTAGTTGCAGGTCCTTCTAGTTGTGGCATATGGGCTGCTGCCTCAACGTGGCCTGACGAGCGGTGCCATGTCCACGCCCAGGATCCGAACCCTGGGCCGCTGCAGCGGAGCACGTGGACTTAACCACTCGGCCACAGGGCCGGCCCCCTGATTCCCTAATTTTTATCTCCAGCTTCAGCCTTTCCCCTAAATTCCAGCCTCACATATCCAACCACCTATGTAACATCTTCACTTGGATCCCCAGTAGGCATCTCAAACTTAAAATGTACAAAACACAACTCCTTATTCCTTAATCTCGCCCTCACCTGCTCCTCTTCAAGTCTTTCCCATCTCAGTAAATGGTTCCATCACCCAGTCGATCAGGCCAAACACTGAGGGGTCATCTGAATGCATCTCTTTCCCTCACATCATTCTCCATTGATCAACAAGGGCTTTGACTCTAACTTCAAAATATGCCACACATCTGACCACCTCTCACCACCTCCTCAGCTGTCCTATTCAAAGCCATAGTCAGCTGTTGCCTGGAGGCTCCTAACTGATTTCCTTGTTTCTAATCTTGCCCTCCGAAAATTTTACTCTTCATGTAGCAGCAGAATGACCTCTTTAGACATAAATTAAAACATATCACTGCCCTTTACTCAACCTTCCAAAGGTTTCCCAACATGGTCAGAAGGAAATGCAAACTGCTTACCATCAGGCCCCAAATAACTCGGTTCCTCCCCAACTTCTTCTCCTACCACTCACCTCCTGGTCACTCCAGTTACACAGGTCTTCTGGCTACTCCTTGAGAACGCTAAGCTCATTCTCTGTCTCAGGGTTTTTGCACGTTTCTGTTCTCTGACCGGGAACAGCCTTTCCCTAGCACTTGGCATGGTTTCCTCCTCCGCTTCATTTAAATCTCTGTTCTAACAGCACCTCCTGAAAGAGGCCTCTCTGACGGCTGTATCTGAGATATCACTGCTGCTTCACTCTCTATTGCTTTCTTCTGATTTGTTTAGCTTTGGAGCATTTATTATGTGTGCGTGTGCATGTAGGTGTATGCGTGGTATGTGTAACATGGACTCCATAAAGGTGAGATTTCTCTGTTTCTTTATTTTTCTCACTCATATCTCCAGCTCTTAGAACAACAGCACACACTCAGTGAAAATTTGTTCTCCCCTCCACTTCCATTAACCCTGCCACCTGTACTAGAATCATACTGATCTGTATTAAGACGTGTGTGTTATTTTCTATTACATTCCATGTTTCTCTTAAGTTTCGTCCGAAAGGTTTAATCACAGCGTTTGACAAAAAAAGTCCTAACCATTAGTACAAAAAGATGTCCTGAGTGGTCGTCCAGTCCAGTCCCCTGGCTTCAGTTGGATAAGATGTTATTAAACTCCTTTTACAGGGTAATCACTAAAATCCCAAAATCTTGTGGCTAATTTCCAACTGTGTTTGAACTCACAGGTTACAGTTACTCAGTGATAAAGAGAAAAGTTGGGAAAACCCATTACTTTTAACTCGTGTGTAATATCATATTTCAAAAAGACAATAACATAACAATCTATCAAAACCCTTAAAATATTCATATTCTTTTTGAGAATAATTCTGTTTCTAGGAATTTATCTTAAGAAATTATTCTGAGCTAGGTACTAAAATATTTATTGCAGCAATATTTGTGTAGGTAAAAAATTAGAAGCAGCTTAAGAATACAATGGTAGAAGATTGGATAAATAAATTATGGTGTATTTGTATGATGTGATTTTTCTGCATGTTTTTGAAGACCATGTCATGACATGGATATATGTTCATTGTATAGTACAGAGGGGAAAATCATTGAGTTTGTCCATCCTATTCATTTCTAGGTGAAGAAACTAAGGCCTAGACATGTCAAGCGATCTATCAAGGACATCACTGGCTCCTCCACGTGCTGACCCTTTGCATAACTCTCACTGATAGCCAGCATTTATCCTGTTGTTTCTCCTATAAAAAGATTGGAATTTTTCTCTCTCAAGGAAAAATATCCAAAATCCTGGGTGTTTTGGAAAGAGAAGAAACGCAATCCTAGTCATCCTCAGCTACTTAAATGAAAGCAGGATTGGCAGAAAAATGCATAAATGAAAACTGCCAAAACCCTAACTTCAAATTAGAGCTTAGATTGCAAGAGCCTCTCAACTTGACTCTTCAAAGAATTGCTACTCAAACCACATCTTGTGGTTCTATCTGCCAGGTTTATGATGGCAGTGGTAGGGGCAATAAAATAGTCAAAGGGTAAGTAAAGGAAAGGAGAACTAATATGAAAATCCAACAACTTGGTTCTGGATAATTGAGAGTTGACCGTTAACACCTCAGCCGTCATACAGCAACTTTAGCCTTTGGATAAAAATATTTTAATGCAAATTGTTTCACTTTAGGAAAATTATTTCTGCTTTCAACAACTGGAGGTTTGTCTCTCAAACTGATTTTCAGGCTAGTAAAAGAATGTGAATAATGATAAGGGCCAGCCCAGAGAATACAATCTCTGTTTGGCACGGGACTATGTACTTGTGGCGTTGAATTCAGACTTTTTAAAGTTATTTTAGTTATTCTGTGAAGAACCTCCTGCTCCATCTCCTGCCCCCAGAATGAAACTCTGTAGTACACTTCTTTTCCTTCATTAAAATAAGACTGCTTTTAAAAGGCAGACACATATTTAAACTAAACTCTTAAAATTTTGAATAATGAGCACTTGGCATTCACAAAACTGTGTTCCCAAAATCTTCACTAATGCTCAAATCCTGGTGTATGATTTGATGGTAAAAGTAAATTTAGAATTGGCTTGCAAATGTGTTTTCTTGGGCCTTCAGAGAGCTAACATTAAAAATAAAGGGGGGCGACAAAGGAGCAGAGGGCCTACAATGGAGAAAAGAAAGTCTCTTCAACAAATGGTGCTGGGAAAACTGGACAGCCACATGCAAAAGATTGAAAATTGACCATTCTTTTTCACCACACACCAAAATAAACTCAAAATGGATCAAAGACCTAAAGATTAGGTCTGAGACAATAAGTCTTTTGGAAGAGAATATAGGCAGTACACTCTTTGACATCAGTTTCAAAAGAATCTTTTCGGACACTGTAACTCCTCAGTTGAGGGAAACAATAGAAAGAATAAACAAATGGGACTTCATCAGACTAAAGAGCTTCTTCAAGGCAAGGGAAAACAGGATTGAAACAAAAAAACAGCTCACTAATTGGGAAAAAATATTTACAAGCCACTTATCTGACAAAGGGTTAATCTCCATAATATACAAAGAACTCACAATGCTTAACAACAAAAAAACAAACAATCCGATCAAAAAATGGGCAGAGGACATGAACAGACATTTCTCAAAAGAAGATATGAATATGGCCAATAGACACATGAAAAGATGTTCATCATCGCTAATCATCAGGGAAATGCAAATCAAAACTACACTAAGATATCACCTTACCCCCGTTAGATTGGCAAAAACATCCAAAACCAAGAACGACAAATGTTGGAGAGGTTGTGGAGAAAGAGGAACCCTCATACACTGTTGGTGGGAATGCAAACTGGTACAGCCACTATGGAAAACAGTATGGAGATTTCTCAAAAAGTTAAAAATAGAAATACCCTATGACCCAGCCATCCCATTACTGGGTATCTATCCCAAGAACCTGATATCAGATATCTCAAGAGTCCGTTGCACCCCTATGTTCATCGCAGCATTATTTACAATAGCCAAGATGTGGAACCAGCCTACATGCCCAGAAACCGATGATTGGATAAAGAAGATGTGGTATATATACACAATGGAATACTACTCAGCCATAAAAAAAGACGAAATTGGCCCATTCACAACAACGTGGATGGACCTCGAGGGCATTATGTTAAGCGAAATAAGTCAGTCAGAGAAAGACGAACTCTATATGACTCCACACATAGGTGGAAATTAGTATATTGAGAAGGAGATCTGATTGGTGGTTACCAAGGAAAAGGGGGGGTGGGGGGAGGGTACGGAGGGGGAAGTGGTGTACCCACAACATGACTAACAAAAATGTACAACTGAAATCTCACAAGGTTGTAATCTATCATAACATTAATAAAAAATAGAAATAAAAAAAAAAAATAAAGGGGGGGAGTTTCATGTAAAAATCTGGATTTCTGGATTCTCTTGAAAACTGGAAGACATGGCAAAGCAACCCCAAGTTCCTACCTGGCATCAGTCAGCTAGAGCTCAGGAAGGCTTCTGTTCTTGGATAGATACAAGCCCACCAGTGCATGACATTCTCCACTCAGCTCTCTCCCCTCATTTCCAGTTGTTTTCCTGGACCAGTTAGGCATTTGAATTTGTAATCTAGCATGAGAATAAGTAGTTATTCACTTAAAATGTACAATAGCCATGAATAACCAACGAAGACAGTTTGAGTTGTGGACAGTGGCCTTTGGGTAGATTCGCTCACCAACTACTGACTGCCAGTTTGTACACGTAGTGGCTCTATAACATGAAGGCAACTTTTTGTTTCAGCGAAATGAGAAATTATTTTATTTGAGTTGCTCTTATCTTAAATCTGTGAATGGCAAGAAACTTTTATAGACTATAAATGTTCTTAAAGACAGAGGGATACATGTTTTAAAAGATTGATTTGTCTAAGAAAAGTGGAACATATTAAATCCTTTTAGAAACCCCACGTTCCAAAGCAGTAGCTCTCAAAGGACGTTTCCTCACCAGCAACAACAACATCTCCTGGACACGTCTTGGAAATCCAAATTCTCAAGCCACTCCCCAGACCTACGGAATCAGAAAGCAGGGGTGGGGCCCAGAAGTTTGTGTTTCAACAAGCCTCTCAGATGATCCTGATGCACACCAAAATTTGAAAAATCTGGGTCCAGAGCTTTCCTCCTAGTGTGCCCTGAAAGGAGATGTTGGTCTCCCCAGCCCTCAGGGGTTGGGCAGCCCGGAGGGTTCATAGTCCCCAAGCTATAGTCTAGCATCAAATGGCTCATCAGCATTGGCATTTTAGGTGTTCCCAACTTGTCCCCAGAGATGGCAAGCAGAATGGGCATCATCCAACACTTCCTATTCCTGCTCACTCCACTGAACTTGGCCAAAGAGGTGTTCTACCATCTGTACTTCTACTTCACTGCCAGCAGCCATCTGAACAAGAGCCATGCAGCTGCCGAAGAAGCTCATATCCCATGTGGCCAAACAGAAGGTCACAGAGCACAAGGCTCAGAGCTCAAGAGCCAGTCAGGGGTGGGGACTGGAGAGGTCACAGAATCCATTCTGAGACCACGCAGCACAAATTACATGATAAAAGGAAAAGCACAGGCTTTCACAAAGGAAGCCTCCCTCTCATTCTTTCCCTTGCTTTAAACTATCAAATTCTTAACCTCATGCCATAAATGTATTCCCAATGGCCCGCCATGGCAGTCCAACCAAAATGTGATCTTCGATTGTTTCTCTTATCCTCCCGTCTCTAGGCAACCATACAGAAGATGCTGTGCCCAGTGATTTTCTGCATGAACTTTCTGGGTGCTTACGTGTTCAAATCCCAGCTCTGCTATGCATTTGCTTTGTGGCTTTGGACAAGTTTCTTAGCATCTCTTTGCCTCAGTTTCCAAATCTGTGATATGGTGATAATAGTACCTACCTCTGAGACTTGGTGCGAGGATTAAGTGAGTTAATGCCTGTTAAAGCTCAGCTTGTGAAATTCCTCAGCAGAAGTTATCTATGTTGTTATTAATCACCTCGCACGTCTGCTGCTGCCCCCACAACTTCCTGGCAGGCTCCCTAAGAGAAAGGCCTTGACGTCACAATGGCTGCGAGAATGCCGGCCTCCCCTTGCTGGGCCACAGTCCACAGCAGCCACCCCCAGGGGACCTTACCAGCTTTTGCTGCCACTGTCTCCAATCCCACTGCCCTAAGTGACACCCCCGCTATGGACACCACCAGCCCTGAAATTGTGGCTGCCACCTCTGGGACTCTCTCCCAGAGTTGCAATGACCTCTGTCCTTTTCCGCTTTTAAAAGAAGGGAGACAACTTGTCCAAGGTTATGCTCCCTTCCCAGGGGGGTCTACATCCAATGCCGAGACACAAAGGCCCAGCCTCATGGGACAAGCCAACGAGCACACTGCAGCGCCAGAGCTCCAGTAGGATCAGCTGGGACCTTTCATCTGAGCTGCGCTACAGGCTAGCTTCTTCCTCTGCCCAGTCCTGCATCCTTCCCCGCTGTCCCACAGGTGTTGTTCTGAAGGGTGCACTTTAATAAACACCCTGCATGCTACTCTCTGCTCTGGAGCAGCTTCCCCGGTAATCCGACCTACAAGGATCCAGGTTGCAGTTTACCAAATTACTGATAACATATCCATTTTGAGGCACTGAACTCAAGGAAAAATATAAGCTATAAAATTTCCTTTCTGATTCCTTCCACCATACTGTTAGTTTCTCTTTCTTTCCAATTTCTTTGAGACATAATTGACATAAAACATTGTATTAGTTTAAAGGGTACAACACAATGATTTGATACAGGTCTGTATTGTGAAATGATCACCAAAATAAGTTTAGTTAACATCCATCATTTCACATAGTCATAAACATTTTTTTTGTGATCGGAACTTTTAAGATATATTCTCTTAGCAAATGAGAACTTTTAACATATGTTCTCTTAGCGACTTTCAAATATACAATACAGTAGTGTTAGCTATAGTCACCATGCTGTACATGACACCCCCAGGACTTACTTATCTGTACCTTCACCCCATTTCCCCACCTCGCACCCCTGCCTCTGGCAGCCACCAATCTGTCCTCGATCTGCAGGCAGCCCTCCCTGCAGGTGAGGGAGTGAGTCGTTCCGTCCTAAAGGAGGGATCTGGGCACACCACAGCGTCCACCACAGAGCCACCTGGGCACAGAAAGGAACAAGTTCTAGAAGTATGTACAAAAAAGCCACGAATGGCGGAACCTATGGGAAGACAGACTGGAACATTTAGGGGAAAAAGGCGGCCTTTTTGTTTTCCGTTCATATCTTCTGTGCTGTTTAAACTCGGAAAGTATTTGCTTTTATTGCTGTTAATTTTTTTTTTTTTAGTGTCATCTGGGGTCATCTGGGTAATTGGATCATAGGTCATTTTTTAAAGGAAAAAAATGCTTCATAATAAAAATAACTAACTTTGAAAAAATAACAAATAAATAAAAGGGGAGAAAAATAAATAAAACCTGCATGCAGGGCACGCACTTGGATTCCGTTATCTCTCTGTCTGCTCCCCAGCCTGCGGAGTCAAGGAAGGCCAGCATCTCTGAGTGACCCCCTTGCCCTCCTCACTGTGGAGCCCAGCGGGAGCTTTCTCACCAGGCAGGAGGGGCTGAAGTCAACCCAGAAGCCCTGGCTGGTGCTCGCCCTCCTGCCTGGAGGGGAACACAGTGGACTGCAGCAGGCTGGGAGCTAACTATCCTTCAGGCACCTTTTCAGTTTTCAAATGTGTGTCCATGCCCATATACCCCTACTTAGACTCTATAGAACAACCTTTCAGCAGGGGCAAAATTCTCTTGGCACGCAGATTATCAGTCAAAAACCATTTAAAATCTCTCCTTGCCCTAAGCAGATCTCCATTTCAGGCCTGGCAAGATTGCACATATAATCCGAATGTGCAGAGATGCAATTAGATTTGAAATCTATTCGGTGATTTGCTTAGCATTGTACCTTTTTATAATGGTTTGCCTTAGCAAACGTTAAAAATAATTTGCTCTACCTGACACGTGCTAAGAAAAGATATGCAATCTGATATGTTTGCCCCTTTCTCCCTCATACTTGGCCTCAAACTTTTGGTTCCTTAAACACAGCACGTTCTCTCCGATCTCTGAGCCTTTGCTAGTGCTGGTTCCTACTGTTGAGAATTGTCTCAACCTTCAAACCATCCCCTCACTTACCTTGTCCCTATCATCTTCAGGTGTCAGATTAAATGCTAACCACCACACCCACCCCCCATAAGGTCTTCCCCAGACTCCATAAAGTAGGTCAGATCACCCTGCTGTCTGTCCCCATAGTATCTTGTACCCTCACTGATGGCAATCCTCTTCAGATTCTATTACATTTCCCTGTTATTTGTCTGAATACTCAGGCAAATGAGGACAGTGTCACTTGTATGCCCACTGTCTAGCACAGCTCATAGTTGGCACTCAAAATGTGTTTTTGAATAAATGAATGAGTGAATGAATGAGAAGGCACTTTTGGATTAACATTAGCTTAAAACAAACCACAGAATAATACAGCAACAGAGGGAAGATTAAGTCTGCATAAATTTCATTGTACATATGTACTTATCTAGTATGCTCTTGAAGTCTGTTACTAGAAACATCAAAGCCCTATAGTGACATAGAAAAATGTTTTCATCATCCAATGGAATCATTTGCTAGGCTGAAGAGTAAGGGATGTTGATTAACTATACCATCACAATACAAATCAGTTCTCTTTTTTTAAATGGAGGCTTTGCATATGTGATTCAATATAGAAATACACAGTATAGGTAAAGTTACTGTCCAGAATGGAGAAAGTCGCTTGAATCTACAAACAAATTTTCTACCGATCACATCATTTCCAAACATCCCATTAGTTGCAGAGAACAGCATAAGTGACACATTTCCCTGGAAAAAGAATGGAAGGGTGTGACTGAGGCTTTATCAAAACCAAAGCATGTGCTAAGGACCTTCACCCAGGAATGTAAACTTTCTCTTGCTGCTTCCTATTAATAGTGTTAAAAAGCACACCATGGGGCTTTTTTTCTATTAAATATTGAATGAATCTGTGAAGCGCTATGAAATGCTAACCAGAAGGACAACCCAAAATAAATTTAACAACAAGCACAGATCTACGAGGAAAGTCCTTTGTAATGTTTTCCAGGGCACTACACTTTTTGAACACTACATACCGGAAAATGTTATATGGAAGAAACGTCACTTTATGAGCCTTTAGATGAGGCCTTTTCTATTTTAATGAATGTCATATATAAGGAAATGTTCAATATAACACAGTTTCACTGAACTGTATTGGTGGAATGAACTGCAGTCACTTTAAATTTTCGGCTTTAATCTTGTGAGAAATACATTTCTAAATATCTTTGGCAAGATATCCAAGGTTTATTTCCTTCTCAATGTGGATTTTAACTCAAAAAGTCCAGCCAGGCTCACATTTGTGGTACTCTTCAGGTTAATTACAGGCAAAGAAATTGACAAAATATCAAATGAGCGATGAGGATATTTCCATTCAATTATTTTTAAGCACTGAAAAACAGGGTGTGCGTGAATTTTCTCAGTTTTAAATTACTCTCAGCATTTAAAAACCACCTGGATGGGTTCAAGAAGTAATGTGAGGTTGAGAAAAATATGAATTAATGAAGAACACATTTTGGTGATAGGCCTATAAATAAATTGTTTCTGAGCATATAGTTGGCACCCGCAGATTGAATAATGCTAATATAAGCAGACACAGATTTCTAAAGTCTTTTTATGTAAAATGTGGTTAGTTCCTGCTTTCTTTGCTATGCTAATGAATGCCAGGGAGAGTGTAAGCTGTATTTTAACTTTTTGTTTACACCGTTGGACACATGCTGAGAAAGTTCCCACAAAATACTGCTTACCACGTGAACTTAAAATGTCCAAGCTCACGGAATTCATCACGTTTTAAAAAATGATTTGGTTTCCCACATTCAAGATAATAGTCCTTCGTTATTTTTAACAACTTTGGCATATAAGATACGTAATAACTGCTTAAATATAATAGCATAGCCTTCGTTACAATAAATCATTAAATTTAATAGGTCTGGATTGCGACGGACTGCTGATTCTTCTAGATGGTAAGATCTTTATCCTCCCTGGAAGCATGCAGGAAAAATCCAAAAGCAAATTTCTTTGAATTTTCAACAGAGGCAGCCTATTTAGGTGGGTTCATTCAAAACCAAAACATCTTTTCCAGTCAGGAGAGCAGAAGGCATCATATTAGGAAGAAAATACACGGCAGTTGGAATGTGGAGCAGTCTCCTCACTTCCCAGGACAGCAACGATACAACCGTTTGAAATGTAGCAGGAGCGGAGACAAAGCAAAATGAAAGACACCAGCACGTCACTTCGTCTGTTGTCAACATGCTTTCACATTTCATTTCATCTAATATTCCTCATAACAACCCACGAAGAAGATGAGGCCAGCAGGACCACCCCTAGCCCTGAGAGCTAAGAGGACTGATACAGGTTCACATACCATATCTAAATATTTAAATTTTACAGCAAGCTCACAAGCGGTTAAATAAAATATTTAATATGTTCTCTTCCCCTGCTTTAACAAATATATCTTCCTAACAACAAAATTGAAAAATCCATGTAAAACCGCAGTTTATATAAGACTGAAAGTTGGTAAAGTATCAAAGAAAACTGAATTTAACTTTTATTGTGCATATTTGAGTGTTCTGTTGATGCGTCAGCAATGTTTGGGTGAGTGATAAAACAGAAATAACATAAACCATTTTAAAAATTGTATATTTATCTCATAGAATTTCTGCAAATTCGGTAATTGTGTTGCTGTAATCAAGGTTTCCACATAGTTGGTTTCTATTGGAAGCCAACTCAGACAACCTTTCTGGAGTCATTACAGTTCTTGAGTAGTTTTTTATTCATTAATATGGAGAAGTTTTGTTCTGCTAAGGCAATAGCAACTGAAATTTTTAATAAGAATTTAGAGCAATCTTTAAATTTGGAAATGGAATATGAAATAACAAATCATGTTCAACATTATAATAGGGATGCAGGTGATA